TTCGAATTTGTTTTTTAAACTAAATTTAATAATAAAGCTAATTTAATTGAGAGAACTATCCGCAAAAATTGGCCTATTTTATTACAGGATAGGTTTTTAAAGAACATTTTACCTAAGAGACCTAAGGTATTATATAAGAGGTCTAACAACCTTAGAAGTATTTTAGCCCCCAGCATTTTACCTAAAAAGGAGGTTGACAAAAGTGGTATTAATTTTTTATCTGAAAAACCTAAAGGTTTTTTTAAGTGTGGGAGATGTAATACATGCAAGTTCCAGAAAAATAAGGTAACAGAATTTTGTAGTTCAGTAACCAAAGAAACTTTTCAGATTAAGCACTTTATCAATTGTCAAAGTCAGTTTGTGGTCTATATGCTACAATGTAAATGTGGCGTCCAGTATATAGGACGCACAATTAGGAAACTACATACAAGACTACTCGAACATTTTAATGGTATTAAAAATAAGAATACAAAACATAGTGTTCCCAGACATTGTAATGAGTGCAGTGATTTTGATTTTAAGGATTTTATCTGTATAGGGATTGATAAAGTTATACCACACTGGAGAGGGGGAGATACTGAAAAGATGTTAGCAAAAAGGGAAACAGAATGGATATATAAAATGAAATCCTCTGTTCCCTCAGGTCTTAATACAGATTTGGATAATTTATCTTTTATTGATTAAGTTATTCATTTTTATGCTATTTTGGTTTTAAAATATTTTTTAAATAAATTAAATCAATATTTATTATATATTTTGTTAATATGGGTATCTTTCCAGATTTGTTTATGGTCTCCTTAATAAATGTTTTTTAACAAATGTTTTTCAAATAATGAATGCCGTTCTATATATATATATATATATATATATATATATATATATATATATATATTTTATTTTTTTTTTATTTTTTTTTTACATATATATTTTTTATATTTATGATGCCGAATACCTTTGCCCCTGTTGTCATTTAAGATTTATTATAGATGTCCCCATTCTATTTATGTATATCTATCTATTTTTATGGACATAACATCATTTTTATAGATCTATTTTTTATAGATATATTATCTGTCTCTTTATTGCCATTATTTTCATCTGATCTTGGATATCCTTGTATGGGACTTGTTTTTTATATGTATACTGTATCCATTTTATTCATGTT